CTGACTTGGTATTCACTGCCCTGTTTCAACCTGCCAGTGCCATCAACTGAACTCAGAACAAAACCGAGGCAAAGCCAGGGCCTCCCAGGCCCCACGCGGCTGGACCTGCCTATCTCAGCCCCCCCGACACACACACACACACACACACTGCCACCTCTGGGGCTCCAACTAATCAGCCTCAGGGCCTTTGCATGTTCCCTCTGCCTGAAAGCTCCATTCCATTCAGGTCATCTTCCCTGGCCACTTACAGCAGACCCTGGTCACTCGTATCACCAGGATGCCTGTTTCATTTCCCTCTGCACATTCACCACTGTTTTATTCAGGGGTCAGGAACATTTTCCGCAAAGGACCAGTGAATATTTTCCACTTTGCAGGTCACAAGGTCTCTGCCATTGTTGTGTAAAAGCTGCCATGGACAATGTGTGAGCAAGTGGGCGTGGCAATGTGCCAATAACACTTTATTTACAAAAACCAGTGGTGGACAGGATTGGGAGGGGGAAGCACAGACTGCTGCCCCTTGATGTTATCTATTTACTTGTTCCCATCTGCTTCCTGACCTCTCACCAATCTGAGAGCACCATGAGGGCAGCAAGAGTCCCCCTTGTGACTAGGCACCTAGAACCCCACATGGCCCACAGCAGGTGCTTGATGAATGTTCAGTAAGCATTATTTAAGGACTAAGAGGCAACTGCACATCCTCATGTGCCCTGAATCCCATGGCAGACCCCAGCTTGTGCCAGGTTCTGCGCAAAGTTTATGATGACTTGCATGTGGACCCTATGAGGAAAAACCCCAGTGCTCACATGGAGTTGGCTCTGTGCCAGGTGGCCTTCTAGGGGCTTTGCACATCCATTCACTCATGCCAGTCCTATGAGAGGGGCACAGTCATCACGCCCATTTTATAGATGGAGGCACTGAGGCAGCGTGTCCCCAGCTGGTAAAGGTGGTCCAGCTCCCAAGGCCTCTCCATGGAGCGGACTGAGGCCGCCAGTGTAAGTGCCTGATGTCACATCACTAGAAAGTGACCAGGGCAGAATTCAAACTGGGAGTTTTCTGTCTCTTGAGGAAACTCGCAACAAGGGGACAAGGGACATTGCAGTTCCCAATTACCATTCACCCACAGCTACAGAGGAGGCCTCCAGTGATGACACCCCGCCCCACCCCAGCCACACAACCCCTTGTTGTTCTCCAAGCATACCAGGCCTTTGCCTGGGCTGTGCTGTCTTCCTGCCCCTCTTTTATGCCTCCCTCAAGGTCAGGGGAAGCCTCACTGAGGGGGAGAGATTTCAGCAAAAACTTGGAGGAGCTAAGGAAGCAAATGACACAGATAGGGATGAGTGTTCTAGGCAGAGGACACAGCCCGTGCAAAGGCCCTGGGACAGGATCAAGCCTGGCATGTTGGAGAAACAATGAGGAAGTCTGGTGGCTGGAGCAGAGTGAGCGAGGGGGAGAGAGGGAGGAGGTGAGAGCAGGGAGGGGACGGGGCAGGTCATACAGGACCTTGTGGGCAACAGGGAGCACTTGGGCTTTTACCCCTAGGGAGGTGGGGGCCCTGGAGGGCTGTGGGCAGAGAAGGGATGGGACCTGAGTCAGTTTTTAATGGGAGCCTTCTGGAATGAGCTGTAGAGAGCATGGGAAGGGATGGGGACCAGGCCAGCGATAACTGATGGGGCTGGACCAGGTGGAGGCAGAGGAGGGGGAGAAGTGGGAGGGTTCTGGGTCCATTTGAAGGAGAAGCTGACAAAATTTGCCTCAAGATTAGATGTGGGAGGGCCTGGAAGGTTGAGGAAGAAGCCAACTGCTTTGAGGTATCACAGAAGCAGGAAGGACAGGAGGGATATGGCTCGGAAACAGCAGACCACATCTCAGGTCAGAGCCCACAGGCAGCTCATGGGCCCCACAGTTGGCCCTGTGAATGTGTCCCTGAGAATCAGGCACCCCACACAGCCCCCAAAAGCCAACAGAGAACCTCATCAGGCTTCTCTGGACAGGGCCTTGGGAGCTCGGGCACTTAAAGTAACCAGATTCTAAACACCAACAAGATACGTTTCACCTCCCATCAGATTGGCCAAAATGACCGAGGCTGATAACATCCAGAGTTGGCAACACTATGGGGAGACAGAAAGTCTCTTTCAGCCCCTGTGGACCTTCCTGGAAAGCCATCAAGCATCTGAGTCGTTTTTCAACCTGCTTGCCCCTGACCCAGCCATCCCAAGGCGGGACTCCAAATGCTAGGAACTGAAGCACCCAGTTACAGGACCATGTTCAAAGACAAGCTGTTTACCGCTCGTAACGGCAAAAGGCGACTCCAGAAACAACTTGAATGTTCCTCAGCAGGAGGCTGGTGAATCAGTAATGTCTCGTGCTTACAGCAGCTGTAGCGAATGTTCACCAAGCATTCTCACCCCATTTTACAGATGGGAACACTGAGGGCTCAGAGAGGTTAAAGCATTTGCCCTCAAAGGTCACACAGCAACTGAGTGGAACCCAGGCAGTGTAACTCTGGGGTTCCCACCCTCTTAACCATTGCACCATATTCTCTCTCTGAAAAAAAATTAGTGATACCAACATGGGGGAAAAAAATCCAGATTACTACAGATAAAAAGCAAGTAAGTTACAGAATAATAGGTATAGTACAGCGGCTCTCCCCCAGGGTGACTGTCTCCAGGGGACACTGGGCTATGTAGGACATCTGTACTTGTCAAAACTGGGGGGAGGTGGCGGCCAAGTGGCTCAGTTGGTTAAGAGCTTGCTCAAGAGTGCGAGCTCTAAGCAACAGCAGTTCCAAGTCCCGACCCGAGCTGAGCTGCCGCTGAGCTGCCAACAGGTGGCAGGATGGCTCAGCTAAAAAATAAAACAAAATAAAAATAAATAAATAAATAAAAATAAAAATAAAAAAATGGGGGGAGATGTTCCTGGCACTGAGTGGGTGGGGTCCAGGGATGCTGCTCAACACCCCCCAGTGCCCAGGGTAGACCCTCCAAAACAAAGAATTTTCTGATCCAAAACATCAATAGTGCTGAGAGGAGAGACCCTGGTGTAGCAGGAACCATCCTGGAGAAGAACACACAGAACTGTTTACATATTTATTGGGTTGTCGGAAAAGTCATGATGCATTTTTGCAATGAAAAACAGAAAAATACATCATGACTTTTCCGACAACCCAATATATATTTGTACAGGAGTAGGAAAAGCGTGGACAGCTATTACCCAAACTTTACAGAACTCAGGTCAAGAGAAGTGGGTTTGGAGGGGAGAGGCAGGTATTAACTTCAAGGTGAGTAAAATAAATGATTAGCTGAGGGAGGCAGATTTCTGCAGATTTTGGTGATGAGCAGGGAGAGCTGGCCTCGTATCTTCTAGGTCTCACGCTCATACCCAGCCGCTGCTGGGGCCTGGGACTTTATCTGTCCCCAGTCGGCTCACCCAGCCCAATAAGACAAATGTTTGCTCTGCAGCTTTCCCATGGTCACTGAGTCTGGGGCTATTTTGTCTCTGACCACCCCAGACCAGAGGGCTGATGGTGGAGGTTAGGAGGCTGAGATAGGACCAGGACACCGACCACTGGCAAAGGACAAGGGTGGGATGACTGAATGGTCAGAAGGAACCGGGTCGTTTACCAGGCGGTTCCAGATGGCAATGAGAAAGGAAGCAGTGAAAGTCTTCCAAAGCCCAAGGATGCTCGCTTTGGCTCGCTCTCTCTCTCCAGACACTTCTCCCAACTCCCAGGCAGCACAGCATTTCCCTGCCTGCCAAGGAAGCTTCGGGAGGCCTGGGAGAGAAGGAGGATGGATGCCCATGTGGGTGTCTACAGGACACTGCCTGCCAGTGCTGCCTGGAGGAAGCAGAGGGTTCTGCTGCTCAGGAAACTTCCTATTTGGGAGCTTGTGACCTCAACCAGAGAAGGAACCGCTCCTCTGGGAGAGTGGCTGGTCTCTGCACACCACCCCAGGGAAAGGCAGGACGGGAGCCCACGGGGCTGGGTGAGGCTGCCTTGCCCCCAACACCTGCTCTGCTGGAGAGCAAGGGAGGTAGGCCAAGGAGAAGGGCAGAAGGAAGCAATGACCCTCCATGACTACAGCAGCCCCCCAGAGTCCAGGGAGAATGCTTGGGAGGGGGCTCCTCCACCTCCATCTGCTTACAGAGACCTAGCACTAAAGGTGCCTGGAGATGTCATGCCCTTAGCTCCTTTCTGTGATAGAGAGGTAAACTGAGGCCCGCAAAGGGAAGAAATGGCCAGTGCACTGGAACCTGGGTTTAGTAACTTCCATGAAGAGAAATGAGACAAGAGGCTGACACTCCCTCCTCCACCCCAGCTGCCCCTGCCTTTGACACCAATAAGATGTGCCCACAGGGGTGACTGCTTGTTGGGGGAAAGGGTGAGGCCCAGATGCTGATACCAGCAAGGTGGGCAGCCCAGAGAGCATATATGAGGCAGTGTCACCCCCCTGCCATGTCCCGCCTGGGAGACAGGACCCCCTCACCTTAACGGGAATACTCCACCATCCCACACCAGCAGAACAGCTCCCTCGACAAGATTGGGAGGATGTCGTTCCAAAGCGCCCTCAGCAGGAGGCGGTGCACTCACCCACTACGTGTCCTAAATGGGGGTCTCACCACCCCCCAGAAGTTAAGACCGGTGTTCTCCGCATGCTTCCAAAGAGGGTTACTCCACCCACAGCCGCTCAGAATGAAGCCCCGCACCCACCCCCGCACCCGCCCCCAACGGTACTCCAGAAATGGGCGGCGCCGCCCCGAGCCTTCCAGGCGGGTCGTTCCATCCTCCCTCGGGGCCCCGGGCGGCGCGTCCCTGGGCTCGGGTGTGGGGCGTTCCATCCCCCCGCAAGTGTCCCCGAGTGGAACGTTCCGGCCTCCCAGCAGCGGGTCTCAGCGCCCCTCCGGCGCTCGGACGGGTCCACTAGGCACCAGAGGCGGGGGGGAGGGGCTGCTGGCGGGTCCATTCGGGCATCAGGGAGGAATGCGAGGTCCGGAACCGTTACCTGCCGCCGCGCCGCTCTCCGCGACCCAGGCCGCCTCCGAGGTCACGGCCCCCGCCTCGGCGCTCTCCGCCTCGTCCGGCAACTCCAGCTCCATGGCCGCGCGCACGGACCAGCTGCTGGACTGACGGGCTGCCGCAGGGTGCGACCCGAGCAGCGGGCCCAGCCGCTGAACAACAACCGCCGCCGGCTGGAGGTCGGAGGGAGGGGGCCAGGCCTGGGAAGCAGGGGGCGGGACCGAGGGCGGGGCTAGGCGCTGCGCCATCGCGCACCGAGCGCGCCGCCAATAGAAGTTCCGAGGCGGGGCCTGCGTGCGTCCCGGCCCCGGGAGCACATCGAGCGCCCCCTCGCGTCCACGGTGTGAAGGGCAGCGCCGTTCCTGTCAATTTCGCAGTGGTAGTAATGTTATATACTATAATAAACATAAATAAGGTTTATAATTCACAAATATTTATCACAATATTAACATAACTTATATTTATGTTATATTTATGTTATATACTTTAATATAAATAGTTATAATAAGGCTTAATTTTTTATTATGCACATTATATAAGTTATATGTAATATTATAATAGACATTAATGTTATTACTAAATAAAAATTAACGCATTATAATATAAGTAATATTAATATATAATTTACAGTTATTATATGTGACATTACTTATAATAAGATTATAAATAAATTATACATAATAATAATATCATTCAGTTTTAGGCTTGGTGCTAAAGCCTTTGTATGCAATATCTCCCTAAGTTAGGGACCTGTTTTTTGTTTGCTTTTTTTTTACTGATAATACATATATTCCCAGTACCTAAAAGAACCTTACACCTAGAAGTCAATAAATATTTGATAATATTGATCAACCAGATGAAAACTATTATCAGCCCCATTTTAAACATGACAAAACAGGAGCTCAGAGAGCTGAAGCTGCTTTGAATCACATAAAGAACCATGCTGTTAGTGTATTTCTGTATTAAGAATAATTGTGTTAATATTGTTATTAAAGTCTAATGGTGAACTTATTAATGATATGGCTAGGTGGTGATTAATTGTGAGGTCATGATTTGGGGAGTAATAAGTGTGGCTATTAATTTTATTTATTACTAATAATTTCTGCTGGGGGGTGCAGGGGAGAGCCCAGACACCCCTCTAGTGAAGGACAGAGCTAGGATGTTATCCCCAGGTCTGTCTGACTCCAGAGATGAAGTCGCTCATCACTGTCTGGGGTGCTGGCAAGGTCAGCGGGAGGCCGATGAGGCTGGGTTTTGGGGTGCTTGGCAAAGGGGTGATGGGAGATCAGGAAGATGGAGCGGGTCACAGTCAGACCCAGGGGTTAGAAAACTGCTCACGAAATATTATCTTTCAAAACAAGGAAGCAGATCAAGAAAAGGGAAGACATAACGAACAGGACCCAGAATGGGTTGAAAGGAACCCCCAAGTTTGCTGTGCCCTGTTAGAAATGAGTTGAGCCACAGTGGAGGAGTCAAAAGGCTCCAGGTAATCAACAGATGATTTATGAACATAATTGGTCCACCTAGACAGTGGAATATTATTCAGCCTTAAAAAGGAAGGATATTCTGACACCTGTTACAAAGTGGATGAATCCTGAGGGCGTTCTGCTCAGTGAGATAAGCCAGACCACATAGGACAAGTACTATGTGATTCCACTCATAGGAGGTCCCCAGAGGCATCAGATTCATAGAGACAGGGAGTAGATGGTGGTACCAGGGGCTGGAGTAGGGGAGGAGAGTTAAGGTTTAATGGGGACAGTTTCAGTTTGGAAAGGTGAAAAAGTTCTAGAGATGGATGGTGGGGATGGTTGCACAATAATGTGAATGTACTTAATGCCACTGAACTGTACACTTAAAAATGGTTGAGGTGGTAAATTTTGTTATGTGTATTTTACCACCATGGAAAACAAAACAAAGGTTCCAAGAAGAGTTCTTTGGACATGTGCCGTAAATAGAATTGATTCCTCTTAAATCTGTCTTGAGAGAAGATTTAAACCAGCAGTTCTCAAAGCATGGTCCCAGGACCAGCAGCATCACCCGGGAGTTTGGCAGAAGTGCAGAATCTCAGGCCCCACCCCAGACCTCCTGTGTCAGAAATTCCAGGGGGTGTGACTCACAATCTGGGTTTCAATGAGCCCACTGAGGCGATTTGAATACCCCTTAGAGTTTGAGAAGCTTTGGTTCAGAGACAACTGGAGAAGGGCTGGGGGTTGGATCAGTGATGAGGATCCTGAAAATGAAGCAAATTTTTTTAAAAATGGGCAACTTCAGGATTGATTCTGAACCTCCCCTGGCAGGAAGTCAATACTAAAACTGAAAACAAGAAGTGGCTAAACAGGCATTATTTAGAGACACAGAAGTGAATATCAACATAAAAACTTACAAGAAGCTATGGTCCGGCCGAGTGGCTCAGCTGGTTAAGAGCTCGCTTGGGAGCGCCAGCTCTGAGCAGCAGGGCTGTGGTTCGGATCCCACATATGAGGGCCAGTGACACTTGCCCTCTACAGCTAAGATGATGAACAACAGCTGGACCTGGAGCTGGGCTGCTGTGAGTCGCAGGCGACAGCATAGGCTGCAGCGGGGCTGCAGTGGGCTGCCGTGAGCTACATGAGTGGCTGGCAGCCAGCATGAGCGGCCGGCAGCCGGTGTGAGCTGCTGGGAGCCGCTGGGAGCGGCCGACCAATGACCGGCGGCCGATTGCCTCACCCGGGAAGACCACAATGATCATATCAACATGGGCCAGTGAAGTGACGTCCTCCACAACTAGACTGAAGAAAAAAAACAGCAATTTGTCTATTTGTCTGTTCCCCTTCCCTGATTCCCCAGCACTGTTCCCCTCCCCCCAATTCCCCAATAAAATCTTTAAAAAAAAAAAACTTACAAGAAGCTAAAGGGACAGTGCCTCTGGGAAGAGAGAAATTGTTGAGTGGCAATGTCACTCTGCTAATTTTAACAAACCTGAATGAGAATTCGACTTTTTAAAGTGCATATGTGTATAAACTTTAATTAAAAATGAAAACCAGGGGTGGCCGGTTAGCTCAGGTGATTAGAGCGCAGTGCTCATAACACCAAGGTTGCCAGTTCAATTCCCACATGGGCCAAGGAGCTGCACCCTCCACAACTAGACTGAGGACAACTAGTTGACTGGGAATCCATGGGTCCTGGGAAAACGCTCTCCACAACTAGATTGAAACAACTGCTTGACTTGGAGTTGATGGGTCCTGCAAAAACACAGTGCTCCCCAATAAAATTTTAAAAAAATTAAGTCAGTTAAAAAAAAAAAAGAAAACCAAACTGGTGCCTGAGTTGGGGGGCAGGTGAGGATAGGCAGGGAATAAAGGGGAGAAGCCAGGACCCAAGTGGGGCAGCAGCTCCTGGTCCTCTTGATTCACCCTCCGACATCCCTGCTCCCTTCATCCCATTTTACAGGGTGGAAAACTGAGGCTGCCTGGTTGCGGCCAGTTGTCTGGTTTCTGGGGCCCCCTGGTAGCCATAGTGGCTATTATAATCAGTACTAGTAGGTACCGGGTAGAAGGGACCCATACGTTTTCTATACCCCAATCCATATTCCCTTCCTCCCTTTCTTCTTTCCTTCATGCCACAAATATTTATTGAGCACCTACTGTGTACCAGGCACTGTTCTAGGCTACAGGGATACAGGAATGAGCAAGACAAAATCCCTGACCTCAAATTAAGTTGACATTCTAGAACAGACAGATAAACAAGCACAAGACAGAAGGTAGTTTCAGCTGCTAATAAGCACTTTGAAAACAACACAGATGTGACACAACAGCGATAGAATGTGATAGAAAAAGACAGGCTCAATAGTTAATATGCATTAAGCACCTATGCCAGCGCTGTCCAAGAAAATTACAATGCAAACTAACCTAAATTTAAAATATTAAACATTATTTAAAAATTTCTAGTAACCACAATTGAAAAATAAAAAAGAAATAGCTGAGATTAATTTTAACAATATTTTTCATTTAACGCAAACATCCAAAATATCACTTCAACATGGGATCAATATGAAAAATAATGAGCTATTTTACATTCTTTTGGGGGGCACTACATCTTCCAAATCCAGTGTACTTTACACTTAACTGCATCTCATTCATTCATGCCAGCCACCTGTGGGTAGTGTGGCTAGAAGGTGCGGACCTACTGTGAGCCAATCTGGTTCTAAGTACTTTATGGACACTCATTCATTTAGTTACCCTTCGAAATTTCCCTAGGAAGTAGGTGCCAGTGTTTTTCCATTTTTCAGATAAGGAAACCAAGGAGATCCAAAGCTACCCAGCTGGGAAATAACTGGAGATTCTTGGCACAGGAATCTGGCAGTCACTCTGTAGTACAGAAGCTCTCAGATCTGTAGGGCAGGAAGGAGCCAATCTTGCCACAATTTACGGGATGGCACACTTGGTGGAAGACACACACACAAGTGCAAAGGACTAGGCAGTTCCAGCTTCAAAGGGAATGGAGGGGAGAGGGAGGAGCCAAGTGGAGTTTCGTTCATTTATTCCTCAATCTGGTCAACACACATTTCCTGAGGTCCTGCCTGTACGTGCTGGTCCTGGTGCTGATTGATGTCAAGGGCTCAGCAGTGAACCGCATAAGCAGACAGGACTTGTCACCCCTGGCATCTGGGCGAGAAGGGGTTAAGGCTAGCTGCTCCCACGTGAGAGCACCTTACGACAGAGCCACACACCCAACCAGCCTCTCAGTCTGTCTCACACTACCAGTTTGCCTGTGCATGTTGCATGTCACTGTGCTGGTTCCACCTGGCACAGGACCTACTAGCCTGTTGCCGCCACAAGAGAAGAAAAGTTGGACAAACAGGTGGGGAGACCAGAGCTCAAACCTCAGGCTCTCTCCCCACCCCCATGCCAGGCGGACACTCAGGCCCTGGCTCCTGCCGCCTGCCCAGAGGCCACCCAGCCTCCTAGACAGGTAAGTCCCTCCTCTGCCCGCCATCCCGAGGCCATTGCGGGGACCAGAGTCCCCACCATGGGGTCCTGGGATCCTAGATCACCTCCCCCCAGCTCCCCAGAAAGCAGGAAACTGACACTCCTGTGTGGGCATTTGACATAGTTTCTAAAGGATTATCTGGCTGGCAGTTACTGCCCCTGGCAGCCAGCCCAGGATGCCAGAGCCAGAGACCTAAAAGGGTCATTGTTGGCCCAGGTGGTGGCAGGGGGCCACAAGGGTA